AAATGACCCAAAATAAATCACTACGCGTTCGTTGGCTTGCATTCACGGACTTCATCAGCGGGCTTGGAATCACCGTCAACTTTGAACATATTGACGGGAAAAATAACACGCTGGCTGACTCACTCTCTCGACTAACTTTTATTTTATGTACAGGATCAGAAGAAGACGAAAATTCTTTTAATTTTCTCTTTTCAGGAATAACAGAATGGACGCTAGTAGCAGCCAAGGAAAGACTAAGAAGAACGCAGAAGAATACTCAGAAATTAGAGACAACCCGAGGACAATCTATAACAACAACATTCGGACATGTAGCTACCCAGGAGGATTGGAGTGGTTCAAAGCACTTGGACTAGACATATCACAACCTAAGGAAGCAAATGACTTGCACTGGCAAGTACTATGGGAAACGTTCTTCCACCCTATCTCATTAAGCGCGCACACTAGGCTTCGAGGAGCTACGAAGCAAATGGAGAAGGAACAAGCTCAGAAGGTTGCAAAAGAGCTACGTATTTTAGCCAATATATATACAAATAAGACAAGATACTGTAGAACTATAAGTACCAAAGACAACGCATGGGAAAATACAATGTCATATTGTCACCGCATCGCGCAGCAAATAAATAATTTTATTAAAATATTTGCCGATATATCAGACAAAAGTCTGAATAATGCTGTGTAACGTGGAGCATATGGTGGGCCCATAACCCACTAAGCCTGTATCACGTGTCCACTATGTATTATTTTGTATTATGTGTAAAGGGACCACTAGTTTTGATCCCTGGTTTGTGTTAAAACCATGGGTCGGTTTCCGGTTTACCGCCCATAGTTTTCTGTCTACTTTTTAAAAAGGTGGGCTGGTTTCCGGTTTAACCCCCAGTTTTCTTTTATTGTGGGCTGGTTTCTGGTTTCTCTCAACCTATTTATGTGTGTGTTTTTAGAAGTTGCAGACACACCGGAGATAATCCGAGAGTCTACTTCTTCTCCTAAAATTTCTGTAAGTTTTCATATTCAATAAAAATCTTGTCTTATTTTCAATCTCTATATTTCTTCCTTTGTTTGGCAAAAGTTCTTTGTGACCCCAAGCCAACGATCCGCTCACGCCCTTCGTTCCTTTGTTTAACAAAAGTTCTTCGTGACGCCAAGCCAACGATCCGCTCACGCTCTATGCTACTTGGGAAAAGGTTTCTGGGATGCAAGAAACATATCCACAATTTTCAATTGAGGTATGATTGTTGTTCTATTAAATCTTTTCAATTTTTAAGGACGAAATTTTTATAAAGAGAAGAGTTTGTAATAATAGCAAGTAAAATGTACATATATATAATAATAATAATAATAATAAATAAACAAACAATAATAAGATAAATAAAAATAAATCGATTAGGTATACGCATCCCTTAATCTCTTTGGTTTCGACTTAAGAGTCGTGTAGCCCATTTCGAACGAAGAAATTAGAGTGCAAGAAAGGAAATTGCAATGGCGAAGGAGAAGAAGAAATCAAAGGTAAAAAGGAGAAGGAAAGTTCTCGGCTTGCCTGTGAGAGAAGAAGACAAGGAGGAAGCCAAAGGAGGAGGAAGGTTCGTGTGATTTTCTTCGCTGTGGGATACTTACCGAACACGATTGAAATTGTGCTTCTTACTCGAGCAACGACAAAGAGGAAGAAAGAGGATTAGTTTTGTGCATTGCTACTGTGCTCACATGAGGTGTAAAACAAAGTCGATGACGAGGAAGAAGACGCAGTCGAGCGGCTCTTGATTGAATCGAGGTTGAAGGAAAGAAGAGGAATAAGATTTGTGTGCTCTATTAGGATGAACTGCGATGGAAGAAGAAGGGAAGTGGAGAACTTGTAGTGTCGTGCACGCTGTTAGGGCTTTCGAGCCACGTGAGAAAGAATAAGAAGGAGAAGTTGTAAAAGGGTTGTGCTCGCGTAGCAGAAGGGAAAGCTCTCAGCTGCTGAGCTCGCATGCATGAGGGCAGCACAAAAATTTATAAGATATAATTGAGATTTCTAATATATTTATTTATTTATATTGTAATGTGTTATAATGTGTGAGTGTGAATTTCATTAATTAATGTGTTAATATAAAGCCACTTGAATCAAACTTTGTAAGTGGAAGATTTTGATGCCAAGGAGAAGGGTGTTGGCTTGTGCGTGTAATTGGGCTTTAGGTGTGTACGATAAGAACCAATCTTCTGGTTATTTATTATTTAATGATGTAAATTTGTTTAAATTGAAATTACTGGTTTACTTATTAAAAGTTAATGACCCATTTAAATTAATTATATATTAAATAATATAAGGTTTAAGGCTGAATCAATTAAAGTTGTACTGTGCAAGAAGCAAATCAAACTTTTTAAGGGAGGAAATTGTATAACTACTTATGTGTTGTTTAATCGTATTTCTTTAAATATATTAAGTATTTCTTTTAAGAATAGGATTCTTATCAAATGAAATCACATTAATTTAATATAGGTAGTTGTACAAAGAATTTGGTAGAAAAGTATTTCTAAAATCTCTTGAAAAGCAAGGTAAGTGATTATTTTCTTATATGAATTAAATTTAAAGTTTATTAACTAAAAAATTTCTTTAATGTTTTAGGCAATTATTTTATACATGTTGTAGCTTAAGAATTAAAGGAAATGAACGAGAAAAAGGAAAGTAAATGTTTAATGTCTTTAAAAGAAGATAATTTAAAGGAAATGAAATGATAAATGAATATTTAAATCATACAGGATTACCCCTGAATGGTACTGGCAGTGGATGCAATGTACCCGTTCATGCTAAAGAAAATTGTAAAGTTGTACCTTTGGGTATAATTTTGAAGGTATTTTGCACACCTTTTTTGAGGGTGCCTTCAGACATATTTTGAGGATACCTTCAGGTATGACGGTTATACTATGATGGCTATTAAAAATGTTAAAAATGGTAAAGACTTAAAGTGGAATGAGAATGGATAAAGTTAAAATGGTAATAAAATATAATGCATTTTCTTTTGGTCATTTGTGCATAGCATAACATAAGAATTTAATGCATATTAGATTATAATTACTTACTATGTTATACGTATGGTTGTAATTAATGTTCTCTTTCAGGAGAAAGAATGTTTTATATTGATATGCTTGGTAGAAGAGATTTGGTTTACAGGAGGAAGACCATTGCTGCTAGGAATATTTATTTTATACTGATAGTTTCTCTTTACTATTTCTTTCAGATGTTGATTTACTATTTAGTACTGAATTGAGATGTTATCTGTGATGGAGGTTGTTATTGGATGATTTAAATTTCATTGTACTTTGTGGATTAGTGACTCTTTTATATGAATTGAAAGTTTTCAAAATGTGGATAGTTATATGTTAATATCGTCTGACCACATTTCACACCAGTTAATTTTAAGCATTGAGCCGATTCGAGACAATTTAGGCAATTCTATTAAACAATACAGTTGGCGTCATCAAAAATTCTAATATAATCTACCTAATAAAATTCAACAAATTAGTTAGAATACTCATAAAAAAATATTTCAAAATCATATAAATAAAAAGGTCATCATATTCCTTTCTCAAAAAAAAAAAAATCCTGAGAATAGAACAACCCTCCTAGCTAAATGTTTTATCCCAAAAATTTTCATCAATCAACTAATAAGGTAACAAGCATCATCCAATTCGTGTGATGAACATCCTCAATTAATAAATCAAAAATGAGATATTATCAAATTAGTTTGGTACTGTCAATTCGCTTATGAATAATATTGTCATTTTTATTTTGTTTTTATACATCACCAACAACAATGAAATGTACATATCATCTAATTAAGTTAGCCCTCAACATTCTACACCTCGATTAACCTCGAAAAAATATTCTAAAATGTCTAACATTCTTCTGGAGCAATCTAAACATGATCAAAATATTGCATAGATTTTGAAAATAAGGTATTATGCTAGTTATGTCCCAAATATCATATATACCCACCTAATCGAAATGTAACAAATAATAAGTAAGTATGGATAAGGAAAATTAAATCAGCAAAATTCCCTCAGCTCCTGTGCAAAATTGTGATTAGTCCACCTAAAAAATTAGTTTTAATTCTTATTTCAAAAATTTTAAAAATAGTAAATGGATCCCACCACTATCCTCTAACCAAAAAAAAAAAGTATATGACGGTGCTCCGTTAATGCTCACAATTCTTTTAATTAAGAGAAAGTTGTGAAAATGTGTATAGGTTGCAATATATCTAGCAAGTTGAATCAAAATGTTAAAACACAGTGGACAGTCCACTCTTCCAATCAATCTCAAGATTACATTTCTAGACATTTGAAGTTTTAGTGGTTCACTGTGCAGTGATGCAAGGTCAATTGTGCAATTTTAAGAAAACAAAATATTCATCATATAATTTAATGTAGAGAGCTACCGGGTAATAACAATAACAAGGAATTGTGCTAGACTCAATTAAAAATAAATACAAAAACACAAATATAAGAGAAAGTTTATCCTAACATACAGCCATAATAAAAGCATGAAACCCGCACATTTGCAACCTTCTGAGAAGCCAAGTGCTGGCAGAACCACAAATTGCAATTCCATGTTCATGGACAACAAATTTTGGTGAAATACAGTAGCATTCACCCAAAGCAACCCCTGACCTCAATCAATCTTCCATCATAAAACAATCGTCACATAAAAAAGTGAAGCCATCAACCGAATCTAAAAAATTCTGTAATTTTCATTTTAAACAGTTCCCTAGCAGGTAAACATGGACACTCAATCGTCATCCCCGCTCAACAAGCATTTCCATACAACAATGAGATAAACTCCATCCTTCACATAATCACAGGGAAAGGCATAAGCTACTGCTTCGGCGGTCATCAAAAAGCAAATCCCAGCTAAATTCAAACTAAATTAATCTAGATCCACAGAAAAAAAGAGGATAAAATCAATCAAACCAAACACAAAACAGAGTAATCCAAAAAATCAACGCACAAATAAAAACCAGAAACCCTACCTGAGATCCTCTCTGTTCTCCTGCTCCTCTCGAATTCTCTTGCTCCAGTTGTCAAAGCCAGCAGACAAAACACAGCCAAACAAGAAACCCACGCCCTACTCCTCATCACCCTTCTTCTCCCTCGAGACACAGATCACCAACTACCAGCTGACCAGGAAGAGAAAATCCAACAAGCGATTCTAAATAGGAAGGGGGAGCGCCTCGGAGAAGAAAAGATAAAACATTGGAAGGTGAGTCGGGAGGGACGAGAACAACGTTAGGTAATAAGATCTTCTCCTGGCGGTTGTTCGGCTGCTAGTAGAACTTCAGTCAAGCAGTAACTAGAAATTTTATCAAGATTTGATAAATTTTTAGGTAGTAAATTTTAAAAATTATTTGCATCACAAAGATAAAATTTGATAAATTAGTTGAATATTTATTTTAAATTTTAAATATAATTTTAATTTTAATTATTAGGTGCACTTGCTAAAATTATTTTGGTTTGATTTAAATTTTTATTAATTTTAATTATGTTACATTAATTGGTAATTTATCAAGCCAATTGTTTGTTGATTTGAATTTCATTAATATATAATCATCATTTAGTAATTTATTAAGTAATTAAATTTGTTTAATTAAACTATTAAAAATGATACTAATTTAATTAATATAATTTATATTTTGTCTAAATCAATTAAAATTAAATTAATTAAAGTATAATTAGCATAAGATAATAATTAATTAATTATTAGTTAGTAATTTTGAAAGTTAATCAAAAGTTACCTTCACCCCTGTCCAAACTTTTTGTAGACAAAGAAGCAAGATATAGCCATGGGAGCTTGTTGAAAGATGACATTGTAACATATGAGAGAGACGATAATTTTTTTGAGTAGTGTGAAATCTTTCCTCCCCTCCTCCACCCCTACTTGAGGAAAAAATAAGCTAAGTCACGACGGGCGGCTCCAGAAAGTATTATATATCTGTCTTTCTCCACCTTGGCACATTTCTATTGATTTATTTTTTAAAATCTATTGAATTTTTAGATTTATCAAATTCAGAGTTTAAATTAAAACAATAGTGAAAATAAAATTTTTATAAAATAAAATTTTTATTTCATACGATTTAAAATATCAATTTCTATTATTTTACACTAAATCTTACCTATAAATCCAAGTTAAATCTAGCTAATGAATAGCTCTTTAGTATAGAAGTTGCCTTAAGAATTTGTGCATGTTTTTTTTGTTAATTTCTAACATGTATTTAGAAGAAATTCTTAACAATTTTTAATGAATTTATTATATGGTTTTTTGTTAAAGCCCCAGAGTTCAATCCAAAGCTAAAAAAATATTACATAATATCCAATGCAGCAACTAAGCGCCACAATAAAATTTTAAAAATAAGATATAATATAAAAAGTAAATAAATAAAAACAAACCTATTAGAAATAAAAAGTCCAAACTCTCTCATTACCTCCACCAAACTCAATTTTTAACTAATTTTAATAAAATAAAACAAACCAAAATAAAAAGATAGAACTCCTATTTTTATTCTTTAGTTTCATCAAACTCCTACTCCTTTTTTTCTTATTATGTAACTTTATGACTTGGATTAACATAAGGTTGGAAGTGTGATAAAGCAGAAAAGAATATTTGATTTGAACCAGCAATTAGTTGATAGTTTGAGAATATGTGTGACAGTTGAGTTAAAGTCAATCATGTAGTTGAACTCTTGTTGCTAATCTTGCTCTATGTAATATTTAAATTAGTGGCTTAACTTTTAATGCCAATTGATTCATTCCTCTATTTTCTTCGACAAACCAAAATTTTTGCTCACTGATGTCATGCACTTACTCAACTTTGGTCTTGGGTTGTCTTTTTTAGAAGATGTTGAGGTGTAGGAGTGGGTTGATTTTCTCCAAGCTCCAAGGATTTAGACTCATATGAAAAAATTACCTTCCTATTCAAAGAAAATATAGAATAGAATTATTTCTCAAAAGAGTCTTTTAAAATTAATTAAAACCTTCCAACATAGCTAATAGATCAGTGAGGAATGCCCAAATCATACTATAGTGCTCCATTTTAAAACATTTAAAATAGAATTCGAAATTTTTTTCCCACTTTTTATGGTCATCCCTTTTTCAATAATAAAACTCAATGGAATCCCATCCATAATCACCTTAAATGTCTCTAAAAATAATCATGATGACCTCTAAAAAAGGTAGGCTAATAAATTCCACTCTAAAGTATTTTAGAAGTAATTTTTTATCTTCTAAAATGCCCACTTAAATCCTCATGACTTGGCGTTATATTTTTTAAAGAGATATGGTCATCCTAAAAATAAAACTTGACAACATGTAATTTTTTTCCTTTTAATAATAAGAGAAATTAGGACATAATAAATTGCTAATAAGATAATTAATGATATCAACATTCCATATTACATTTTGATCACTCAACAGAAACATATTTTTATCAAGAAATAATTCATTAATTATTTTTAAAATTTTCATTCAATCCTTTTTAATGATTTGTTGCTTGACATTGTATTCCTTTTTTATCACATATTTCCAAATCAAATTCTTATAAAAGATGGATCCATCTAATAAGCATTAATTTTGCATCATTCTTAGCTACACAACATTTTTATTATTGCATGATTAGTATGTACAATGAATTTAGTTTTACTCATGTAGGATCTAAATTTGCCAAAAGTAAATGCCATTGTTAGTAATTCCTTTTAGTGTACGCATAATTAATCCAAATTCATCCAATATTATAATAGGATAATAAATGATAAGAAAAATTACTATTATAATTATTATTTTATCGTTCAACATAATCCCTATTGCATGGCATTCAGTATCACATAATCTCAAAAGAAAATTTCTAAATCTTATTATAATAGATGCAATGATTAATTTGTATATTAAAAAATTGAAGGATTTATATGCACTCTTAATAAAATTTAAAAGTCACTTATTTTTCTAACAAATGACACAAAAGTTATATAGTCTTAAGAAAATTCTTCATAAATCTCTTATAAAGCCCATCATGGCCTTTGAAAGTCCTATCTCCCTTACCTGATGCGGGTTTTAGAATTTTTTCACTTCCATCCTCTATGTTGAAATTTTATGTGATAGAACTTTACTCTCTACAATGAAACACTTCACTCAGTTTAATAGTAAATTTTTTTTCTTACATCTTTATAAAATTAATGCAAGATAATCAAAACTATTAAAATATGTGCGCTTGATTAAATCCAAGAAAGTAACTATTATGCAGTGCATTGTCTGAAGAATACTTTTCTAAAGGAAAAGGTTCCAAAAGGGCTAATGAATGCAATTTTATTTTGATTGTTAGGTGTTACAAGAATTTAGGGTTGTTTGGGGGTAGCTTCAGCTTATTAAGAAGCAATTGTGAAGCTGCTGAATAATCATTTGATGCTTGAAAAGTTGTGATGGCTATGATAGGTTTATTTAAGAAAAAAGTTAGATTGCAACTAGTAAGTTGTCGCTGCACATAGCCAGGAGTGGTGAGAAAATGCAGATTTTAGCGGTAGCTTTTTGAAAAAGCTATCAAAATGTAGTTTACAAAAATAGATAAAATTGCGGTGTAGCTTCTCCTAAACTTAATTTCCTTAAGATACACAAATGCATCAAATTGATACTAGCTTCTAGGTCATATAGTGCATTCCCAAAAGAAAATACCTCTTGTAGCATGAGGCATGATAAAACTTATTAGGTCTTTCAGTTTTTGTTAAAGTTTTTTTTTTTTTAATTGTGAATTGTGACATTATATTTCTCATGTGACATTATATTTCTCAGTAAAAAAAATATAACTTCAAATTTTCCTATTTTTTATTTTTATTTAAAAAATCTTTCATGAATTTCACATAGTTAGACATTGATTCAATAGGTTCTACAAATAAAATAGTTATAGCTAGCTTTGTAAACACTTATAAAAATCTGCAAAATTGTATATCATAAATTTAATTTTGAAATGGTTGTGTGGCCTTTAAATTTTTCTTCATTTGTTTTATTTTTCTTTATTTTCAATTTTTTTATTTTTTTCATTTTTTAAGCTTTAAATACAATGTGTGGCCTTACCTCATTATTTACCTCTCTCTTTTAATTCTCTGTGACTTCTTAATTATATTATTTTACATTATTTCTTACTCTTTTTTAGCATTTATTTTAGTGTTACTAGAGAGCATTTTGAGGTTAGTTTACCAAATATTTAATTAATTATCTTAATAAAAATTTAATGTTCATAATGAATGCCGCTTGAGTTTTTGACTATGTCCCCATTTGCAACACCAAATCTTCCAAAAATGGTTTCTTCTCTTTTGATTGATTTTAAGAAGTGACTCTTGATGAAAAACTAGGTTTGGGGTTTGAAGAGTTGTTTAGCTAGTTATTTTAATTTTTTATATGAATGGGCTAATTGTTATTCAAATTATTACTCTGTATATTTTGCTTAATATTTTAATTAAAAATATATTATTTCTTTAATCAGGGTTTACATGTGTTTGAGAATAAATTATTTTGCCAATTATTCACAAAATTTAATGACTCCATAGTTAAAATATAAGAATCATCTAGTTAAAACACTGCACATTCATCTTAAATTAAAGGCGATTCTTGGTTTTAATTCATTTTTAAATTATTTTATTTCTTCAATATCGTTGTTATTTGTGAAGTCAAAATGAATAACTGTCGGCACTAAAAAGTTGGGAATTGTTAAGTTTTCAGCTGCTAGGATGGATATCCTAACACCCGTCTTAATTTAATTTAATACATATATAATTTAGAAAAAAAAGTATTTTAATTTTTTTAAAATACAAGACCGAACTGATCTCATATCCCTAGTAGTTTAAATAAACGAGTCTAATACCACAATTAGTGCACTTATCCTGTGGGATATATACATTACTTACTGGTTAAAGCTCGATTAAATAAAGTAAAGATTGTATGACATCCGTTTAATTTTGCAAAACCATTTTATGTTTACCGACAAATTCCCCTATTTAATATGAAGAATTAAATAACATTAATATTAAGCTAGGTTTGGGAATGCTTCTTATAAAGGCAAGCCCCTATAGTTAATTACATCTTAGATAACCAGAGTCACCTAAGAAAACTCTTGATAAAAATTAGAGGATATTTTCTTCAAGGAATTCAAAAGGAGAGGACTTTTCAACGGGATCAGACAAAGATGTGTGAAAAGGGAATGGCTTAAGTTTGGAACATTTTATTTTAGAATTCAAAAGAAGAAGAACTAGGGGATATCATAGATTCAGAGGAGAAC